TAAATTCATTTATGGTCAAAAGGTTACTGTGTATACTGACCATAAGCCTCTAGTTTCGATTGTTTCCAAGAACATGCATAAAGTTTCCAATAGGTTACAGAAGTTTAAACTAGAACTACTCAAGTATAACATTGAAGTAAAATACTTACCTGGTAAATCTAATGTACTAGCAGACTTATTGTCAAGGAAAGTTGATAAGAACATGAATGATAAGAATGATAGTTATTTAAACAGTGAACTTGAAAAATCTGTAATGGTACATAGTCTAAGTAATCAGTTAAGTATGTCTGAGAGTAAAAAGCTACAGTTTAAAATTGCTACTGAAAATGATGAAGTTTTGAACAAGGTTATCAAATACGTTAATGAAGGGTGGCCTGGTTATAAAGTATTGGATAATGCATTGAAACCCTATCATAAGATTAAGGATGAAATTTCCCATGAAAATGGTTTGCTATTTTTTGGTAACAAGATCATTGTTCCTTCTGTATTGCGACAAAGTATGCTAAACCTAATTCATGAATCACATCTTGGTGTAGTTAAATGCAAAGCTAGAGCAAGACAAATTTTGTTTTGGCCTAACATAAACAGGGACATTGAAAACCTAGTTTTAAGTTGTCAAATATGTGAAAAATATAGGTTTGCAAATGGCAAAGAACCATTGTTAAATCATGAAAAGGCTACTAGGCCTTGGCAGTTTGTATATAGTGACATACTAGAGTATGGTGGAAAAAATTATTTGGTTGTAAATGATGCTTATTCTAACTGGGTAGAATTAAGAGAGCTATTTGACAAATCAGCTAACAGTGTCATAAGAGTTCTAAAACATATTTTTTCGCAGTTTGGCGTACCAGATCGTTTTGTTTCAGATAATGTTCCTTTTAGTTCTCAAATGTTTAAATCGTTTGCAAATGAATATAATTTTGAAAGTGTGACCAGTAGTCCTTTTTATCCAAGAAGTAATGGTAGATCTGAGAAAGCAGTGGCGATATGCAAAAATCTGTTGAGAAGGGCAAAGGACAGTGGTAAAGATATCAAATTGTTGCTATTGGATTATAGAAACACTCCCCTTAACAATGTTAATGTTAGTCCAGCACAGTTATTTTTAAATAGAGTATTGAAGTCAAAAATGCCTATAAATACAAAGGCATTAAATCCAAAAATAGTTCATGTCAACAGAGATAGGTTAGATGAAAAATCTAAGTTGTATTACGATAGGACATCAAAGTCACTATGTCATTTTGATAAAGGTGATAATGTTTTGATTCAAAAAGGTAAAGAGTGGATAAGTGGTAAAGTCATTGAAAAGTTAAACTTCCCCCCCAGAAGTTATGTTGTTCAGGATAGATATGGTCAAGTGTATCGTAGAAATAGAATTATGTTAAGAAAGTGTTATTCTAAGGTTATTCAGTCTGATTATTCTGATCTAATCGCACAAACTAATTTTGGGTTAGAAAATATTGAAAGGCCTAATCAGAATGAGTTTGAGAATAATGTTAACATACCAGTACCAGTACCTAATGTTTTACCTAATAGGCCAGTAACAAACCAAACCACTAGATTCGGTCGAACCATCAGAAAGCCTAACCATTTGAAGGAATATGTTTAAGTCTGTCTGTTCATTTGTTTAATCAACATTTGTCTTTATGGATTTAAATCATTTTGATTAAAAAAGGAGGATGTTACATAATAGTATAGCCTATAATAACTTTATATATAGTAGCCTACCTTTGCTATTAAAGGACTCTATGATACATAAGGCTGTGGTGTCGGGTGTACTATTTTTGTAACTCAATGTAGGAAGAACTAACTTATGATGATGTAATAAATGTACTTCAATGCTTAAGCATGGTGTTTTAATATTATCCAAGTTAATCTTGTTTAATTATAAATATTACTTAAGTAATATTGAACAAATATTCCCTAAATATATGATTTTCTTGAAATTGTAGAGTGTTGTGAGTATACATGGTTAGTATTCCTTTAGTAAAACAACGTTTCTAAATCTTTCAGAAATGTTAAAAATACGGAAATAGTAAAACACTTAATAAAATATTTAAAATGACATTGCTGTAGGTAGACTGAGACTGTCTTAAAATTTGTATGACAAAATGTGTACGGTACAATAACCTTTACTTTTAATACAGTTTAAAAATATCCAGCAATAAACTTGATTATAAAATAGACAAAACATTGCATGTACCCTCTCAGACAACCTATCCTCATGTAACCTCTACTATTTGGAATTTTAAAAATACTTCATTCTAATGTTATTTTCGTACTGGTGTATAATATAAGGAAGCTAATGCTACAGTAACTAGATTTGATTGTGTTTAGAAACATCATTAAATCTACCTTGCACAATTAAAAGTAGTATGCAAACTAACAAGTGTTAAACACAGTCTAGCTCAATACAAATCTATAAAATCTAAATTCGCAATCAACGACAAATAGCTCAATAAGTCTTAAATCCTAACCCCCTATCAAGAACCAATTAAATACCTAAGCACATTTAAAAACGAAATTCAATAATTAAAGTTTAATTTGGCCAAACTCTTCCCATTTATAAATCCAATTTCCTTTCCGACAGACGATTGTAAAGTGAAAGGTCGTTATTCAAAAAGAAATTGTTTCAGGAAAATGCTTTAAATCTCCAAGGAAATTATTTTCCACTGTCCTTTGGGAGAAGTTTATTAATTATTACGAGGTCGAGATTTTCCCGTCTGTTTTTCTCGTTATTTACGGCAGCTAGGCGCAATCAGGCCGTTAACGATATCCCTACCTCCCCCCCTCACCCCCCTCATCAAGAAACCCCCCTTTCCCTTCAATCATCACCTCCCTTTACTCAAATTTTTACCCTTTTACCTACCTGCATGTATTCGTAATTTTATTATGTTCAGTTATTTCCCTTTTTATGGAACTAACTACACATTCCATCCCCCTGTTAAAGTCGTAACTAGTTTTAAAATAAAAACTAACAAAGTTCAAATAAGCCACCACTAAAGTGAGCAGATGTAAACTACTTTCTGCCGAACGTGTTTTTTTTTTTTTTTTTTTTTTTTGGAACGAAGCCAAACTCACAAGACTACTTGTAAACAATTGCACCCTATAAGTCACAACAACCATTATTCGTTAACAAAATTGTGGCGGTTTGAGGTGAAGTGACTCCATTCCGTTTACTTCACCCTATGAAACAACGTCTGACAACTAATCTGCTAATATTAAGCTAAACAAGTAAGTGTTGAAGAACCTGGGACCCAGGGAAGTTTTTTAGCATACTTTATTATGTTCAACTTGAATTCAATTTTATTTTTTGTAATACTCTGTTACATTTGAACAATTATTAATTTCACTACAAAATGCATAAAAATAGTATAATGAATATTATTTGTTAAAGATTTAGAATATGAAAAGTTTATTTAAATAAATTAAAGCTTGTTAATAAAAAAAACTACGTTTGGATTAATTTTAATCAAACCTCAATTACATTGGTACAAAATTAAACGTAAAGCAACTACGACAAATTACAAATCTGAAGCAAAAAATGTGACATTTTCAAAATGGAAAAGGCAGAACGAAAGAGAAGAAAGCATTAACAGTGTAATGAAAAAGGATACAAAGTAAAGGAGCACGCAGGTAATTTTTAGGTAGCTGCTGAAACTAACTATTCCGCCCCGTTCCGTCGTAAATCAGCCCTTAAACCACCCCCTCCAGCGCCCAAGATCTACAATAACCTTTCCTTTTAGTAGAATACCTGTTTTTATCTCACGTTATTTTAAAAACCTATTCGATTTTCCAATGCAGCCCACGATTCTACAAATTTGTGAGAGGAAAATTAAATTTGATTTGTTATACACTCATTATTGTAAAAATAGAGAATAAAAAGGAGGGGTTTGTATAAATAGGTGGTAAAAAGGGGATTATAAAAACAATTAAAAACAGGGTTGAAATTAGCATATAAAACTATATCCTGCAAAATTATAATTTTTTTTATTCATATTACATCATTAAAAATATTATGAAGTTGAGAAAGTATTCCTTGCAAGCCAGTGCACAATCACTTGAGATAGACGAATTACATTCTAAGGAGTGACATTTCAGTTCAAATATAAAAAAAATTTCGTTAGGTCTTTTTCATAGATAATAATGCGTTTTCGTACAATTATTTCGCTTATAAGGTCCTATAACGGAGTTTATAGTTTGTATTCAATGGGCAATAGTATATATTTTTTATAGTTTGGTGGGTAATATATTACTTTCGAATTTTGAATTGTATTTTGAAAGGACCATTGAACAAAGTAAGCTTTATTAGTTTAGTTGTTCGATAAATCCTAAATCCTAAATCTTCAGTATAAAATAGCCATGCTTAAGTTTTACTATTATAAATAGATTTTATTTAAAAACATACAGCTTGATGGGAAGAGCAATACAAGGACGAGTAAGATGCAGGAAACGTTATTTGACGGTACTAAATAACTACATTTTAACACAGACCTCATTAAAGCCTAATCTTTTTGTAAGTCTGAGTAAATAAGAAAAAACTATTAAAAAACCTAGAAAGACGTGTAGAAATAAAAATAGTTTGAACAAAGTATTGTCATTTTAACAACACTTTTTACTCAGAGGAGCTCAGGTAAAATTTCAGTAAAAAGAGAACAAAAGTTAATTCAATCGTAACTAACCCCTCGTTCGCTGCTTTAAACTATAATTTATAACTCGTCTTTCTCCCCTTTCACCCCTCTTCGTCACCTTCCAACTCTATTTCTCTCTTCCCATTAGACTCTCTGGAGTTCAATTATTCTGATTACAAGTTCCAAGTCATCTTGGAACGGATTAGGAGAAAAGAGGTTCTTTCATTTTCTGTAGTTACAGGTAAACAGAGTATGCCATTTCTATAGCTCGCCCGAAACCACAAGGAAATACTCGTAATTCCTACATAATGTAATTTGTGTGAAATTGTTATTTGAATCAAATTATTGTTACAAATATTGTAATAAACTCACCATTTCCAGTGGTCTCTGAGGGCGCGTTGGGTCGGCCTGCTTTGCCGTCCGCCGTCCATTCTTCTTCTGAAAAGAAAGAATAAATAAGTTTAACATTTGTATTATTATAGGAAACGCATATGATTTTACTTAATGAAGCTTAAATAAATGTTCTTGTAAAGAATTGATAAAAATAACGCATCAAAGGCTTTGTATTCATTGTTAAATATAATTATTGTCACATAAGCGTTCACAGGTGAGATGACGTATTTCCTTAATAGCGGAAAACATATTTAGATTTTTTATTTTATTTTACTGTTTTTAGGGAGAGGCAAGAAAATGCGTTTACGCGGGAAATCCATCTAAGATAGTTGGCTATATAGTGGTAATGTGGGTCTCTAACGGGGTTAAGACCCAAAGACTACCCGCTAAAAAAACCCTCTACTCTTCGGACACTAGCCTCGGAACACTTGTCGCACTTCATTTAGAACTAGTCCGAGTGTTTACACATTACGCGAATTTCTTGTTATCATACATCGCAATTGTTTAAAATGTTTAAACTCGTTTTAAAATCTTCCATTTTTATTCCAAACAGTTAAATACTAACCACCCCTTGTCAGAGAAACCCTACGAAAATAAATAAATGATTCAATAGTTGACTGCTTAAAATTGTTAGCTATTTTATCTTAATTTGTGTATGCTTTTACGGATGGTATAATTAGAACCAATGGTGGTCTTCGGTATCAAACACGTTGTCAGTTGATCATTGCTTCAAGATGTTTCATCTTCAGTCACATCCTACGCACTGAACATGTCTCTTCATAGGATGAAACAACTCTTAGCATTATTGAACTGAAGACGAAGTTGGCGCAAATAACCTCTATGTTTTCTTTATTCTTGACTTGTTGAGTTGAATTACATGACTAAAACAAGGCAATTGTATATTTCTGACCATTACCGTTATTAACCTGTCTTGAAACTTTCCACGTAGATATATCCTACAACACAAGCCACCAAGATGTAGCTGTGCGTGGCAAGGTACCATTGTGTAGATCCAGACGTTATTCGATTACGAAGGTACAATATAGGCAACTCTCGTGAGGCCGGCTTCTGTATCGTGGAACGTGTCTTCTGTGCTCTGCTCGAGTCAGTTCTGGCATGTGTTTTATGTTGAAATAAATATAGAGTGTCTTATAAAACTGACAACGAAAATTTGGAGATTTAAAATATTCAAAATACACATTTAAAGTATTTAAATCAAAATGAACCGTTAAGAATATAGGAGATTTAAAATTTTCAAAATACACATTTAAAGTATTTAAATCAAAATGAACCGTTAAGAATATACTAAGAATAAGAATACGCAGTCAAACTACTGACAAGAAAATTCAAAAATAACTAGTGATATTAAATTAAGTAAACTTATAACCACGACCATCTTATAAAATGTTAACTATGAAACCAATAAATAAACTAAATATGTAATTTCCGGGATTTTCAGTAACATACTGCCCATAGCCTTACCATCACACAGCACGTGTATTACAGCTAAATAAATATATGATTGGATACAGTGTTTGATTGATAATCAAAAGGGGAAGATTCAACCCTTAGAAGTCAGTATATTTTAGCGAATTTCCCTACAGGGAAGTAGCTATTACCGTAGGTGGCACGGTAAGACCTAGACCCGGGACCGATTTACTTTTTCATTTTGATGTCCCCAGAGGCCAAAAACGCCATTCGTTCAAATTTTTATAATATGTATATATACAGTTTGCTTGTATATATATATATATATATACGTCCGTGAACGCGATAACTTGAGTAATTTTTGTCCGATTTTGATGAAATTTGGTTTAAATGTGTAAAGCGGGATAAACTTGGGGTAAAAATTGGGTTTTCTCACTTTTGACCCTCAAAACACAAATTTTCCCGATTTCTCTTTAGACCTTTTAAAAGAGCTTAAAAAAACAAATAATTTAGTATATAAAAGTATTTTTGTTCGATTATTGGTAACGGAGAAAATTAAACAAATTGTACATTTAAAATTCCCATGTTATTCTTATGGAGAATATTGTCAAATGTTGTAGTTTGCTTGTTTATGGATATATTTTGATCAAACTTGGCAAATTAATTTATTTTGTACTAAGCTATCAATATTTTACTCAAAAACACACTTTATTAGTTTCCTTGTAGCAGCAAACCCAGGTACTCGTTAAACCTAATGTTATTAAAATATATTTAACTGAAAATCAATTAAAAAAAATGGAAATTCGCTTAGTCGGCAGGTTTGCTGCGGCGGGGGTATTTATGTTACAAAACTGAACCCTGGCTTAAGAAACGCCTGTTCTTCGTCTACTAGTCCAAGCCTACACAAGGCATCTATTTAACATTTATATTACGCTCATATTTGGGTTTAAATGCACCCAGTTTTGCTCAATGTTAATTGACAATAGTAAGAATAGTAAGAATACAGTGGCTATTTCCCTTTGAATAACCAATGTAAATTTCTACCGGTTTACGTATTTTTAGTGTGATATATTTTCCTACAAAATTAATTGAAAGATCAAGTCACCTTATTCTTGAGCGATATACTTCACAAATGTCCATAGCAAACAACGAAGTTTAAATACAGTATTTACGATTAAAACAAGGTTTATAAACAGAAAAATGTAAATTTCAACACATTTACCAAAATCTATGCAAATAAGTTCGAGATAAAAATTCTTCTATTACAGAAACCACTCGAAAGTTTTTTGTCGGCAAAACACAGAAAGCCAAAGAAACAGCAAGGGACCTCCTCGCTATTTTATTCCCAGCAGAAAGTTGGCATCTAACAGTGTTATTGTTCGTTACTTGTCTTGCGTCCCGAGAGTTTTGACTCTGCAACATAAGCTCTCTTACGAATACATCTCGTCGTGAAGGATTAAAGTTTATACACATCAAATAGTGTATCTTTTACAGCAAACGTAAGGGTGGTTAAAAACCAAAGCCATAAACTACTACTAAAGATATTTGCGTTAATGGGAAATTAAAAGACCATTTTTATAACAGACTTTATTATAAACGATCATGGTTGTCAGAAAAAAAACCATCCATATCTATTTTCTGTACACAGGAATTTTTTATTGTATCATACCAGTATCCATGAGAAATTTGTTTTGGGGTATTTTATTTTTTAGTTTCTTTGTTAAGATCTATTGACGACCCAATTTTGGAAATAGTATATTGAGTTTACTAGTCCTGAAAAAAGGTGTTTACCGGACAAGTGTGGTCGTTCCAGTGCGAGACAAAGTCGAGTAAGCTGGCGGAAAACAGCTGTTTTCTGAACTAAATTCTTGCGTGGAAAGTTCATCAAAACAGTGTAGTGTAGCGTAAAATAGTTTACTGCAAGATGTCCCTCAGTTTGGTTCGGTTCTACGATTGATGTAGGCGACGAAAATCTGTAATTGATTTCAACACATTCTCGAAGGCTCGAATTATTAAGTTCCATTTTAACTCGAATTTTCCACTATCCACAATCTAAACATGGTAAAAAAATGAATAATCCTATCAATAGTCAAAAATTAGAAGGGGAAAAGGTGAATGAACACATCATGGTAGTGAATTAATTTAAAATTATTTGCTTTAAAAGTTAAACAGGCTAATAATCCATACATTTACTTCCTTTAATCTTTATCCTGTTGCTCACGTATATCCGCTACTGAGCAGTTATCTGGGAGAAGAAGGGAGGAAAGATTTGTGGACGACGTGTTTTCCTTGCGAAACGCTTTTGTTACATTTTAGAACGTGTTTTACCTGCGAACGTGTTTAAATTGGTCCTTATACGATACATCGCCTTGTATTTCAAAATTATAATTCTGGTAGCATAAATTTAAAAAAAAATTTGCGATAAGACTTAAAAATACGTTTATCATTTTTTGGAAGTTAATTTTGAAAAGAAACAAGATGAGCTATTATAATATGCCAATTGGGAAAACTTTCATTTGAAACAATGAAACATATTATTATATTTAATAGTATTCGCCTAGTAGTCAGCAGAAGGTCACCGGTTCGATCCTTAAAAAATCAGTAGCGTTTTGATTATAGCGTTATTCAAACAACCACCTGTTGTCCTCAATCATTTTGTTTTGAGTAAATTCTCCTGACTAAAAAGGATTTTGTCTTGGTGACAAAGATACTCTTAGTCACCTCATTGCATTCCACCTCCATTTATCACTCTTGTATTCCAAATAAAATAAGTAGTGTTGTGTTCCTGGTTTAATATAATGCTTATGGTTTAAAAAATGATAGTACAGCTTAAATGATTAAGTCTTTATACGGTTCCAGTAATTTTTCTTATACGTAATATGTCTTCCTAAGAGTAATTTAATATTATAAGAGAGGGAATCTCACTTTTTTTCTTATTCCTGGCTATCTATCGGCTAGATTAGTAGGGGGAGGGAAGCACGTTTTAGTGTTTTTAATAAATTTCGCGTGCGTATCTTGTTTGTTGTAACCGTAAATTATATAAAAATTCAATAATTTCTGTGTGGACGAAGCAGTGCTTGTTTAAAAAAAGTGAATCCATTTATAAATTTTATTGGTAATTATAAGTGATAGGCCTGTTCTTTATTTGGCCATGTGCCAAGTCGTGTGTGAAACCCTAAGAATTTCAGTTAAATTTTAGATAAACATTTAAATCGAGAATAATATTAGCCTAACTACTAAACATCGACTAAAACTACTGATATTACAGGATCTCCAGAAAACTTCAATGTTTTTTCACCACTTAGTGATAAGTTTGATAAGAAGACTAAGGACACAAACTCGCTGTCCCTCAGGCTGGTAAACTGTTTAACCATCTTCATCTCTTTATCTGACAATGCCTCGCCACCGCGCTCATTAAACATTTACCGATGCCAAGCTAGCTGAGCGACGTTTACATTCGATCCGTTCAGTTTTAGAGTCGGTGTCTGTTTGGATACTGTCAATTTTTATCGTGATGACAGTAAAATGTTCATCAATTTAAAGTGACCATTTTCAGATGGAGGTTTATTTTACCCACCGAGGCAAATCCGACAGTTGAAGAGACTTTTTCAACCCGT